GAAAGAGAAAACTGTCTGAAGGGATCAGACTAAACAATTCCAACATACTTATAAATTTTGACTCTCCTTAAATTGAGAAAAAAAAAATCCCCCATATTCAGCTTGAGATACTGCAGGCAACATTTTCTAACAGAGGCTATATAAATGGAATCAATATTTGCTTCTAATTCAGTGTGGAATATCAAGACATGCATCTACAACCATAAAAAAGGCTAGGCCATTTGTTGATTTATGGGCCGGTTATCTCAAACTCCCCAGGGAATACAGTTACTCAATTCAAACAATTTCCTGTGGGTTGAAATTTTGCTGCTCCAAATTATTACATCATGTACAATAAGAATTGTATTCTGATAATCACAAACAGAAAGCCTTATTTTTCCTTTTATAAGAAAGCTGTCATTTACAACAAATTTGTCCAAGACCAGCTGCAAAGAAAACAAAAAGACAAGGGTATGTTTTACTTTGTTTTAACTGACAAACTTTATGAGCTAAAAAGATTGTTGCAAGCTACTCAGCCCTTCCTTATAAATATTCAGAATTGTGTAGCTAATGTACTGACTTCTAAGGGAAGCAGCATGATAATAGAAAGAACACAGCAGTTAAAAATGCAGCCATGGGGGGAAAAAAATGCAGCCGCGATAGTGTCAAACATGCTGCTTAATCTCAAGAAACACCATTCTCATAGTGGAAATCCAATGCATAGCATTGCCAGAAAATACATGGTGAATTATATTAATACAACCTAACAACCCAGAGTTAGCAGGGCAGAGCAGACCTAGATTTCACCACCAACATACAATTGTCATTTGGACCAAGTTACAGAATCACTAACTGAAGTCTTAGATACTTTTTTTTTTTTAAAGATTTATTTATTTACTTATACAAGCGCTGGGTACAGTCAGAAGCGCAGGAGGGTGAGAAAATTCACCAGAGCCAGAGCGGGGAGCAGAGCAGGAAGTACACTGTTGAGGGGAGCAGCGGGCGGCAGGAGAGGTCTGCGTGCCATGTGGGACCCTCCTGTGGTGGCCGGGGAGCAGCCGGGGATCGAACCGGCACTGCAGAGGCTGCGGGCAGCTTCGCAACCCAGCGCTCAACCGCTGCGCCACTAGGGAGGCCCTGAAGTCTTAGATATTTTACCAGTAAAATGGGATTAATAAATAATATCTATCTCAAAGAATTGTTATGAGTTATGAGGACTAAATGAAATAAGCATGTATGTATAATTAGACCAGTGCCTGGTACTTATTAAGTGAGGTATAAATGTTTTGATGTGGATAATGAAGAAAAATAAGATGACTCTCTATTGCAATCAATCCTGCTCCATCACTTTCAGGTCCATTTACTACCCATAATAAATTTGATTTGTAGAGAGCATTCAGCAAAATTATTCATACAAAATATTTAGGGTCAGGTATAAAATAGGAGTTCCATAAATAGTAGCTATGATTATGATGACTGACCAGTCCCTATATACCTATCCTTTCTCCCACCTCCATTTCTTTCTCACAGACAAAAACACACATATACTTACTGTAAAAATTCCTTGAGATTAAATTATAATTGAGAGCACAATCCAAAGCCATATCAAAATGGGGGGAAATGAAGTCTAAAAATAATGTATTCTTGATATATTCATCTATATTATTAGAATTAAAAGGAATAGTTCAGAATTGATTTTAACTACAAAATATTCCCCAGGCCTCCCTGGTGGCGCAAGGGGTTAAGCACCGCACTATGAAGCAATCCACAGCCTCTGCAGCACGAGTTCAATCCCAGGCCATCCAGGGAGAAACCCACATGGCGAGGCAGACCTCTCCTGTCTCGCCCCCTGCTACCCTCAGCAGTGTATTTCATCAGTCTGCCTGTTCTGTTTCCCGCTGTCTCAGGTGAATCCTCTCATCCTCCCACGCATCTGGCCTTGTACCCTGGCTCTTGTATGCATAAATAAATAAATCTTTATAAAATGTTCCCAAAAGCACTCTTAGCTCATAAAACTTAAGTAACAAAATATAGTCAAAATACTTGACCTTAAATGACCTCCCACAATCTCTTACCCCAAGCACATTTCCAACCTTATCTACCACTACTCCCCTTAAAACACAAAAAGATTTGTTCTATGTATATGCTTAGCATTTTGCTCAATAAGAAATATTATCTTTTTCTCTACCATCTTCTCAGTCCTTTCTAATATTACTAATCCCCCCCTACTCAGCAAACCTGTCTGAAGAAACCCACTCTGTTGCCAACTTATAGTAATAGAGACTAATAATAGTCACATCCTATCAGGAAGGAGTAATCATTTATTTACATTAATTCATTTCCCAAAAGACTGTCTAAATACTGCTCCTCACCCACTGGGACTTAACCTCTCCCTCTCAGGAACTTCATTAATCAATACTTAACCAGTACATCAGTACTTTATTGGAATACAATGTGTGACGTTATATTACCTTACATTCAACAGATGTTCAATACTTGTTAAAAGAACAGATGAAGAGCTAACTTTTGTAAAACACAGTACCTTTTCAGTTTAGAGATAATACAGTTATAGGCAAGATCATTCATATCTTTTTCTCTTCCTTGAATCATTGCCTAAATCATATCATACCCGTCTTCCACATCTTTCTATGGAAGAAAGATATACTAGTATATGGCCAGTGGGACAAACACAACCTCATTCTCAAACATACTTCCAATAGTACCAAACTAGTGAGCATGGTGGTTAAAGTAAAGAGAATATCCATTGCAATGAGAATATCCATCATTATTAGGCCCAAGGATAACAATAATGATAACTGTGAGTTCCAAAAGAATTGCCCTGTTATCTCCTGATTCAATAACTTAGAACCAGATATGTTTTTGTCACCAAGGTTTTTTAAACTACACACTTGATTGCAACTATGCACTATTTAGACTCACAAACATACCGAAACCTGAAGTATTTCAGCACAAACAATAATGAAATCGGGCCTCCCCGGTGGCGCAGCCGTTGAGCGCTGGGTTGCGAAGCTGCCCGCAGCCTCTGCAGCGCCAGTTCGATCCCCAGCTGCTCCCCAGCCACCGGAAGAGGGTCCCACATGGCGCGCAGACCTCTCCTGCCACCCGCTGCTCCCCTCAGCAGTGTGGGGAGCACTTCGGTCCTTCTGCCTGCTCTGCTCCCCGCTCTGGCTCTGGTGAATTCTCTCACCCTCTCGTGCTTCTGACTGTACCCAGTGCTTGTATAAATAAATAAACAAATAAATCTTTAAAAAATAATAATAATGAAAGCACCATGGCTGTATCAACAAGAGGAAAATAGGAAGAAAAACCACTGACCACACAGGCTGGACTCACTTCTACTCAGAGTACACTGGTACTGAATGGCACAATCAACTCCAATATGAGAGGCCAAGCACATGACTGGGAAGGTGACAGAGAATACCAAAGAAAGAAGGGCATCTCTAAAGAATGCCTCCTCTGTGGGCTCAGGAGGTGCAGGGTTGGGCGGGGAGTCACAGAAATCTACTCTGAAAGCCTTCACAATGCTCAAACAAAAACAAGCTACCAGACTCTAGGTTTTCAACCAATTCAAACCCTAGCTCTGCTCCTTGCAATAAGAAATATTACCTTTTTCTTTACCATCTTCTCACTCCTTTAGCAAGTTACTTGGCTTCTCTCTTTCACAGTAAAATTACAGTAACAATAGACACCATTAGTGGACACAGATTGTGCAACAAAGGCATCAGACACATGGCATGTCCTTCATCCTTACAATCTGCCTCATATTGATTCTCATTTTGCATTAAAAAGACCAGTCCTTTCTCTCTATCTGTACTGGGAATTAGAAGAAAATACAAAACATTTAGCATAGGGTCTAGCACCTGCCACATAGTTGGAATTTTGGAAATCATTATTAGACAACTGCAACTATCACTTGAATAAGTGACTCATTGAACAGCAATAAAATCTCATGAAAAGTTTTCCCTCACATTGTCAACCATAAAACTGACTTTCAAATGGCAGTACTTCTGGAGCACCTGAGGTTCACAATATTTTCGCTTGAAATACCAGAATATCAGCCATCCAGTCCATCAAGTGTCAAAAACAAACACAGAGGTTCTTAACTGAGGATCAAAACATACAATCCAAGTAAAAAGAAAGCCCATTATAAAAGTGATACTTGATTCAATCTGAACACCAAATATTAAATATTTTACTTTCAAAAGGATTATTGTTTTCACACTTCAAGAGAGCAGGTGCTATTGAACAAATATATAGAACTTCCGCAAAACAATTCCCAAGAGCATCTGTTATCCTGAAATACTGAGAAAACCATTTCCCAGAACTAACAATGTATTGCCAAAATCTTATTGAATTTCCTATGCTGATAAAAAAGGAATCATTTTGAATCTGGAAGTAAATGCTACTTTCTAAGTTAGTCACAAAATAAGATATTTTCTTCATTATTAATTTTCAGTACTGAAAATAAATATAAAGAAATCACAACCTTCTTTTTGAAGGAAATTTTAAATATTAAACCTACAATCCTTACCTTTAACTCTAATAAACTCAAGTAAATCTGTGAGATACCAGAGTATAGCTATCAACTTTACTCAATGTAATGTCCTTATCTAATCTTCTATTCACATTCTTATTCTTAAAAAATTTTTGTTTGAAAACACACTGAGTCCAAAATCATATTCCCTTTTGTCCATGTCTCTTCACAGTTTCATGTTTCATGGAAAATTTTTCTAAATAAAAAATCAAATGTCTGTAAAAATCAAAAATCTATGAGAATATTTTTAAACTGGTAACAAAAATCAAATTCCCAAAACCTTAGTGATTGAAATAGAGAGGAAGAGTAGAAACAACAATCAGCCTGAAAGAAGCCTCCTGAAAGTTAAGAAAGTCTAAAACTTCAATTCCAAAATTTAAACTCTTCTGTAAAAAACAGCACTTCACAAACACCAGGTCCCTACATCCCTCCATTCACCCAGTTTTACCACAGGAATGATACTTACCAGACAACACATTCAACTGGCAGCAAAAGGCCTCTAACAACCCCAAGGACTTCTGTGGGGCAAGTGATACAGGAATGGGGAGGGACAAGTGAAGAGCTAGAGTTATGGGGAGGGAAAGGGAAGGGAAGGAGGGAGGAGACAACTGCAGTTAGCAACAATGGGAAACAGTGAATCTAAACCACAAAGGCTTCCCGCAGTACAGGATGACAGGGAAAGGGCAATTCTTCTTACCACCTACCAGGAACTCAGCACTGGCAATTCATGATAAAAAAGATGGAACCTCCAATTAAAAGCAAACAAAGTAAATTAAAAAACCGAACCAAAAGTAACTTGAAAGGACATATCACAAACTTCATAGAGGCTTAAGAAAAACAATTAGGAGACTGTTTCCTCCAGGGACATTCCTGATGACAAAGGTCAGCAGTGTAACAATAAGGTTTGCAGGGTGGCAGCTGCTTTCAAATGAAGAGCCAGCCCTAAAAAAAACAGTCCTTTGCACTACAGTCAAAAGGAACACTAGAAGTGGACACGCTGGTAATGCTTTAGAGAATAATCAAAACAATTTCATTGTTTGGATGGCTAATTCAAAATTCCGAGACTGAATTAACAGGTAAAACTCAAACTGTCTTAAACAAACACAGCAACACTGTTAAAGAAAATTATTAAGTAAACTAAGCTGCTGGATTCAAGAATCAATTTTTAAAGGCTTGCAAGCTCAACATTTCTCAATCATGAAGGTGAGGACAGTGAAAAGATCTCCACCCCTCTTCTCAGGAAAAAGGCCAACTTATATCAGCAAGAACAAACAGCAGGCAGGATCCTGTCCCCAAACATGTGATCCATCAGTCAGCCCAGAATTTACATCTGCAGACAGGGCACAAAGGCCCCAGAGGAGAAACACACACCCTTCTATGTCTTATTTCTAGCATTAAAACAGTTTCATGGCAATTTGTTTTACAAGGATAGTGATTAAAAAAAAAAAAAAAGCAAAAGCTCATTGGCAGAATTCTCACCAGATATGAAATGTCTGTTGCATTTATATAGGTTGTGAGAAAATATTAATAGATTTTTAAAAGTTTAATTTTATAAACTTAAGAATTGTAAGTAAAATTAAAAAGATTCAGTCACTGTAAAAAACCAATTGTTTTTAATATTTAAACAATATACTAAAGTAGTAAATTAACAACAATGGAAGTACCAAAATTAAAAGAGAAAATGGTTATTTCTGCTTTTGTTTTGCTAACCATTAACTTTCTAACACCGGTCTCCTAGTGCTAGGTGGGGATGAGGGAGTTAGTGACATTTTAAAACATGAAACACAAGATTTCTACTGTCAGTACTAACTACAATGAAAGAATGTACAAATATCAAGGTCATACTCTCCAATCAAGTCATTAAGGGACAATTATATATTCATTGTGGAATTAATCGAATAAAACTGGAGTACTGCAGCAGAGGTACAAAGCTTTATTCCAAGTTATAGTGCAAGAGATAACATGACTTTTCATATCACAGCCAGGCAAGAGAGGTGATCCACAGGAAGAATCTCATCCTAATAGTCTATAATTTTCTTTGAAGCGCCTTAGAAAATACTTAGCATAAAAATTCTCCTATGGGGGCCTCTTTGGTGGCCCAAGGAGTTAAGCATCAGCACTGTGAAGCAGTCTGCAGCTACTGCAGCAAGGGTTCAATCCCCGGCCAAGGAAGTGACCCACATGGCTCATCAGACCTCTCCTGTCTTGCCCGCTGCTCCCCTCAGCAGTGTATTTCAGTCAATCCACCTGTTCTGCTCCCCACTCTGTCTCTGGTGAATCCTCTCACCTCCCGTACCTCTGGACTGCACCCCAGCTCTTGTATGCATTAATATTTTCTTTAAAAAAAAATTACTTTGTAAAACTGTGCTTCAATAATATTTTTCATACTTTTCAACACTTTGCAGATGTTACAAAATAGCCCACCTGTGACCATAATAGAAAAAGGTCTATGAAAAGAAAATAAACATTAGTAGCGAGTAGCTACCTCTAATACTTGAATACAACAATCAAGAGAAATCCTTTGCTGGAGGAGGGAGTGATGTAAAAACATAAGAACACAGGCTAAACAGTCCTACTTGGTCAAATTCCACACCTTTCATTATGGGTCTCCACAAGCAAGTGGAGTAGGGTACAGCACAATGTTCAATTTTGTGAAAGAACATTTTGCATCTCTTTAAGTCCTAATAGGGAATTTCTCGAAGAAAAACCAAGGTGACTTGGAGTAACCCCAAAACACAATCATTTTTGTTGTCATGGAGTAACCCCAAACCACAATCATTTTTGTTGGTTTTTATTTCTGAGGTGATAATGCTGATATTGGCATTAAAAGCAAGAGCTAAGAGGATCCACAGTAGGAGACAAACTGAAAAAAAAAAAGTTTATTGATTCTAGCACTGTAAAAGGTAGTGAGAAAATCTGGGGAACTTTAAAAATAAACTATGGAGGGACCTCCCTAGTGCCACAGGGGTTAAAGTCTCAGTGCTATCAAGCAGTTGCCAGCCACTGCAACCTGAGTTCGATCCCCAGCCAGGGAACTAACCCACATGGCGCAGCAGACCTCTCCTGTCTTGCCTGCTGCTCCCTTCAGCAGTGTATTTCAGTACATCTGCCTGTTCTGCTCTCCACTCTGTCTCTGGTGGACCTTCTCACCCCCCGCATCTCTGGCCTGTACCCCAGCTCTTGTATGCATAAATAAATAAATCTTAAAATAAAAATTACATTAAATTAAATTAAAAAACAATGATAAATAAACTATGGAGGATTAGGTAGGGAGGAGCACGGTAGGGACTGCTTTATATCAAGCAGAAACCTATATAACATTATCATTTGATCCCTGGGCTATATATATGTTCATGATGTGTACGTGTGTAGTTGGACATGGACAAGGGGGTCAGGAGTAAAGGAGATGGACTTACTTGATCTTACTTAATTAAGAATCCAAGGGAAAATATTTTAGCCTTGACTCCAGATTGTGAGCAAGAATATATTGGGACGTCGATGGAAAACAAAATATACACAGTTAATACTTTTGGGTAATTAATCCAAAAGCAAAAATAAATAAGACTACATCAAACTAAAAAAGCTTCTGCACAATGAAACAAACTGTTGTCAAAACACAACATTCTCTCTTGAATGAGAGAAAAAGACTGGCAAATCATACATCTGACACAGAGTTAATGTCTAAAATATATAAATAATCCATGCAATTTAACAACCCAAAAAAAAACCCACCCAATTTTAAAAATGGGCAGAGGCTTAAAATAGACATTTCACCATAGGTGACATATAAATGGCCAATAGACACATGACAAGGTGTTCATTTTTCACTTATTTTTAGGGACGTGCAAATCAAAACCACAAGATAACACCTCATACCTGTTAGAATGGCTATTATCAAAAAAGACTAGAAATAAGTGCTGAATGTTCCTACAGTTTAACCCTCCAGGTCAGTCATTAGTACAGTGACCTTGAGTACGTTATGCTGAGTCCCCCAGCAGCCTCACCTTACTTCTTCAATATCTCCTCATGAGTTGTTGGGAGGATTCAATGAATTAATACCTGCCAAGTTAATACCTGCCTATGCTTGGGCTGTGGGAGTACTATTCAGTGTTTGTCTTCAGGATCACTGATACAACCATTTTTTGCCTAGAGGATCTATTCCTTGTCTATCACCAGCCCTCTTCTGTCAGAGCTCTTGAGGTAGGTAAGCTAAGGTCCAGGTGGTACTGGCAGGGGTGTTGTGGGGAAGGGACGTGTGAGTTGAGCAGTCAAGGTGAGAGCCCTAAGCCTATGTCACCTGCAGAGAAGCTCCAGGCACATTTGCTCCTGGCAGGCTTGCCTAGGCTCCTGCATCTTGTACACCAGCAGCATACAGCCCACGGCCCCACCGCGTGGGAGTCATCTGTTTCTCCTTAGATTGAGAGCTCCTGAAGGACAGGAACTCTGGCTGCCCAATGAATAAACAAATAAATACCCTAAAACCAGTGACAAAATCATATTTCTTGGCCTTCCTCATCCTTCTCTACTTGCGCTACCGGAAAGCCCCATGAAAGAATGAAAATCAGAAATAGTAAGAATATGCTCCACCTTTTAAGATCACCCAAGAGATATCTTCAGTCATTTATCCAATAAACACTTGCTGTGCTAGGCCAGTGCTAGGTGCTGAGGATGCAGGCAAAAAAACTGACCCTGGTCACACAATGCTGGTATTTCAGTAGGTAAAATAGATGTAAGCCAAGCAAAAAAAGAAAAAAAAAATATTTTAAATGGTATTATAAGTTTTAGGGAAAATAAAAATGTTAAAGTAACAACAGCTGGGAAAGGGCCTCCCGGTGGTGCAGGGGTTAAAGACAAAGCACTATCAAGCTCTCTCCAGCCACTGCAGCACAAGCTTGATCACCGGACAGCCAGGGAGCTGGCACATGTGGTGCAGCAGACCTCTCCTGTCTCGCCAGTTGCTCCCCTCAGCAGTGTATTTCAGTACTCTGCCTGTTCTGCTCCCCACTCTGTCTCTGGTGAATCCTCTCACACATACACCCTACTTCTGGCCTACATCCCAACTCTTGTATGCATAAATTAAAAAAAAATTTAATTTTTTAACAAACTTCTCAATTAATGGTTTATAGGTGTTAAGGTGGAATTGAGTGAATATGATAGGTCCTGTGATAATGAACACATTCTCCACCTTCACATCAATATCCTGGTTTTGATAGTACACTAGGGTTTTGCAATATTACCACTGGGGGATACTGGGTAAAGAGTACATCAGATTTCTTGAACTCTGTATATAAATCTTAAATTATCTCAAAATAAGAAGTTTAAAAAATTATTGATATTTTGTTATCCAATTTCATTGTAAAGAGCCTTACTTAAACTAGTGTAGATAAATTAGTGCCTCCCTAGTGGCGCAGGCCATTGAGCACAGCGCTGTGAAGCTGTCTGCAGCCTCTGCAGTGAGGGTTCGATCCTTGCTGGCCAGGGCGATAACCATATGGCATGGCAGACCTCTCCTGTGTCTCCCGCTGCTCCCCTCAGCAGTGTAATTCAGTCAATCTGCCTTCTGTTCCCCACTCTGTCTATGGTGAATCCTCTCACCCTCCCATACATCTGGCCTGTACCCTGGTTCTTGTATGCATGAATAAATAAATCTTCAAGGAAAAAAAAAATAGTGTAGGTAAATTAAAGCAAAACAAAATAGAATCATGCACAGGTCTTTGGAAAGCAGTTTAACAGACTACATA